TACTGTTTTGTGTTAAACACTTTATAAATATAATATTATACTAGTATATAAATTATAAGTTAGTACAGAATATTTACTGAAGTATTCTATATCTGAAATATCATAAACAATATGCTTTGTAATATACGGTATAGCACATTTTGAAAATACAGTAGTCACTTGTCTCAGTTATATTTAATTGAGAATATTTTTTAGCATGTTCATTAATTATTTGAAAAATATAATAATGTGTAAAGAAATAAAATATTTTAATTGATTATAGGATATTTTCATTTATTTATAAAATATATTGATTTTGGAATAGAAATTTAGCATTAGATTTAAATAATTTCTAAATTCGTCCAAATGTATCATATTTGAAAAATAAATAATCTATATTTATATACTGTATAGACTTACTATAGACTATGTAAGATACTGTATATACAAATGTGTATATAGAATAATTAATAAATAATTGTTGAGTTGAATTATATTTCCGATTAAAGCACTTTTCATGAGATATAATAATTCAAAAGTTGGCAACAGATGTGTAGAAGTGATGACAATATTTTCTTACGAGAAAGTAATATCAATACAAGTGTTTTAGATAATAACACATTATGTTAAGACTAATATTGCCGTCGATTTGATGAAACTCTGTTCTCAATCCAGACTTTCATTAATTTGTCGCCAAATTATTTACAAACACTTATTGACAAAATATAATTACTATTTATTTGTCACTTGTTTCCTTAATATTCAACTAAAATCCATTAAAATTAGGTAAATATGAACATAACGGTGCTCTACGATGACTTTAACAACACATCACTGTTGGGGGTAAACAGCAGTAGTAATCGTATATTTATGGCCAATCCGTACGAAATGCTTAACCCTTCGGCTATAAATCCAGGTTTTATTAAATGGTTATTGTATTTATTAAATTATCATGGTTAAATTATGATTAATTTGTATTTTTCCAGCATTTGTGCCCATAATAGTGACACATGCCATCACCTTCTTAATCGGAATAATCGGTAATATACTAGTGATTGCCACCTGGTCTTTGAGGGGACGTCTCAGGTCTCCGACGGCTGTATTTTTGGTGAGTCTGGCGGCGGCCGACCTTTTGCTGCTATTAGTGTTCGTTCCGTTGGAAACGTTGGAGTATTTTGTCATAAGTTGGGACACCGGAGGAAATGTCTGTAAAATGAGTTCTTATGTGGAAATGCTGTCAGGAATGGCCACTGTATTAAATCTGGTCGCAGTCAGTATTGAGAGGTATGAATAAATCAATGAAATCATAATTAACACTTTATTCACAAGTGTCTCAACCCAATTTCAATGGATATACATTTTGAATGGATATATGTAGTGTAGAAAAACAATGTTTTAATTATATAATCAAGTGTTGGAAACACAATTGTTAAGTGAATGTCAACTTGAAATCAATTGAAGCACTTGTAGACCAGTAAAGGACTTCTGTAATCCTCGTGACTATAAATATATTACTCTTAACTTTTTTGTTTCATTTGTTGACATTGATTGTGAAAATGTTAATAAATTT